ATAATAATAAATTCTGTATAATAATAATAATAATAATAATAATAAATCCTGTATAATAATAAGAATAGATCCTGTATAATAATAATAATAATAATAATATATAAATCCTGAATAATAATAATATATCCTGTATAATAATAATAAATCCTGTATAATAATAATAAGAATAAATTCTGTATAATAATAATAACAATAATAACATCAGTGTGGCCCGCTTGCACATTGTTTCAATGTCTTTCTCTTAATATGGATCAAGCGTTTGCGATCAGTGTAGTTCCTACAAGTAGACCCTAGGGGTCAGTGTTGCAATGGCGAATGATTTGAACAGGCAAAAGCAGTACATTAACCCTACACGCAGCAAAGAGGGTAACAAGAATGGCTTAGTCTAGGTTCGCACCTATGCATTTTCCACTGCGCTTCGCAGAAACGCACTACAGTCCATGATTTCCTATGGGACAGGTTCACATCTCCGCGTTTTCACCCGGTGCGCTTTTTGTAGAGGGTCAGGGACTTTTTTAAAGGCAAAATGTTGTGTTTTGGTTCAATAGACTTCAAGGGAGCCAATGCAGAAAAGTATGTAGTACGTTTTTGATGCATTTTGTGTTTTTAATCTGCCTAGCAACAAGAAAAAAAAATAAGTAAAACGCATTAAAAATGCTTCAAAAACGCAAAACCCAGAAACGGATCAAACGCAAACTGCATAGATGCGAACCGAGCCTAATGGAGGGGGTAAACCTTATTTAATTTGCAGGATGTCCTCTCTAATTTAAAAGTACCAGACATGGAAAGTAGGTTAACGGTATCTGAATTAGGTATAGAAAACTTTGCGCACTTTAAAAAAAAAAAAAAAATCGTACTTTTTTTTTAACATATGGCAATATACAATGTATTGTGACTTCATATATGACTGGTTGCTTTGATTTAGTACATATCACTGCTGAATATTGTATGTTATTATACAAACCTATCAGTTTTAGCGACACATGAAACGCATGTTCAGTACATCCTCAAAAAGCCTTGTTTGATGTTGTATTTTCCTACAAATCCCAATATTTCCTTTTTTTATTTATTTTTTTTTTAATTTGGGAATTTAAAATCATGTACATTAAAGGACTGTGTAAAAAGTATCTTGTTCTTTTATGTGCTTTTCAAATATACAAATATGCACTAGGAAAATATTCCAATTTTGCCTATGACCACAGGGGGGGCTGTAGACTAAAGAGTAGGAAAGCTCGCCGTTGACAAAGCGGCATTCCAGAATCACAACTTTATTGACACAGCTGCATTCCACAAACACAGCTGTACCTATACTTCCCCCTTAACGACAAGCAAAATTTGAACATTTCCTCCTGTGAACAGTGGATTCTTGGAGAGCAATACATGCATATGGGATGGAGCAACTCAAAACTGAACATATTTCCCCATTAGGCATGGAGTGGATCAAGATTCTGTCCCCAGGCAGATCTTCCGCGGGAGAATTCCCATATTTTGGCACAGCCATGACGGGATAAGAGTCCAAATTAAGGCCCAACTCCGGGAAACTAAAGTTCTCTCTTGGGGCTGCATCCGCACTGCAAGGGTTAATTGCTTGTTTAGGTCTAGGGGGTATAGAAAAGACATTTTTCTTACCTAAATTGATCCCCGGAGAGGTTTCCTCTCCATGTTCCAGCTGGCTTAGGTCTTGAGGTCATCAAGGCCAATGAAGGTCCTATAGCTCTGGATTGGACTTGATGACTCTGAGGGACAGCCTACTGCCGGGGCATGGGGGAACGCTGTCTGCCTGGGAGCGGAGGATCGGGTAAGTAAAAGTGGTTTACTCCATCCTGGAATGAATGTGCAGTTAGCACTTCAGAGGAGGACTTTCAAATTCCCCAGAGTTGGACTTTAAACGTAAGCTATTGTTGTCACCAGCTCTTATAACCTCCAGAAGAACCAATAGAGGGTACACAGGCAGGTAGGTGTCTTCATAGCAATATATGAAGAACTCCAAGGACTTTGATACCAATCAGCTCTGCTTTCAGTCAAACTCTCCTGCTGTGAAGGCTCTGCCTTGGATGGGGAGATCTCTCCACTTGGGTCCTACAGTGAAAGAACAGTTCTGGATTGAACCTTGCCTCATGCAATCCAATGTAAAGGAACCCATTTAGGATGGAGTTATCCTTGAATTTCAGGCTACAAATTATCTGTTACAACAGTGCATTGTTATCTAGCTGTGGACTAGATAATCACCCAAGATGATAAAGGTAGGAGATAAACCAGCATGCAGTCAGAAATGGTGCTTAGCATTGTACTCTTGAAAGAGGGAATGCGGACTACTTTTATGACCATTTAAAGAGCACCCGTCAGCCAGGCACAGTGGACACAGCCGTTCTCTTTTGAAGGTGCAACCAGTCTATTCATTAGGAGCCAGTACACAGTGATGGAGGAGCGGAGTTTGGAGATGGGGGTAGTTGCAATAGGAGGTCACAACAGCACAGGTGGTCATATAGTGACCACTAGAAGATGTCTGAAGGTGCACTGACGCCAAGCCAGGGCACGGTTCACGCCCTTGGTCTGGTTCGTTTTCGTGCTTGTGTTAAGTGTACCATGCCCAGGACCACTTGGAAGAGGTGGTCTTGGGCCTTGCTTGCTTGTGGTCCGGTACAGTTCACTTCAGTGCGATTGCCTGAGGACCAAGCTCTCCATAGATAGGAGTACAGAAGCAGTGACCCCTGTGGGCTGGTTGACTTGCTTGCAATCACATTGGAAAAAATTAGCAATAAATGTCCAGTTAGCATCTAGTCTACTCACATTGTTGGCAATCAAGTCCTGATAAAGAGTGCAATCTTGGACCTCCAAAACATGTTGGCTACTTTTTGGATTGTCCTCCCTGACTTTTTTTGGAATTAAGTCAGGGCCTGGACTGAGCAAAGCTAAAAGGGAGGTCCAGCATGACTGGGGCGTGCAGACGAGGCGCAGTGTGTATTTGGGTGGGAGTATATGCAGGAAGTAAGGGGGGTGGTTACTCACCTGATTGGAGCACGCAACCTTGAGGGGTGGTCTAGCCAGGATTAGGAGGTGGGATGGGTCTTGTCGGAGGTCAATCGGAGCTTGTGTCAGTACGGGGGTGGTTTCTCTCCCGCCCTCCCTCCCTGGATTTTTGTGTTTTGTTTTGGTTATGGTTTTGTTTTGTCATGGCAGCCGGCAGGGGTCGATGGGTCTTTGAAGGCAGTGCTGGAGTGACAAGTTGGTGGATTATGGGTTGGGCCCATCGTAGGAATGGGTGTTCCTTCCCAATTAGAAGGTCACGTTGGTAATGTGGGAGTTCATTGGCTGTATCTGGGACTACGTAACTCTAGTATTGTCCCCGAAGCAGTGTAGTAGCGGCTGGGGGCCTTTTTATTGGGTGTCAGATACAGCTGAGTTATTGATGTGAGTAACGGTGCCTTCGAAGACCTTGGACCCAGTTGGGATTATTACTGTCAGTTACTATTTGAGTGTCCTGTAAGAAGTGTTATGTTAGAGTTATAATAATGGCTGCTATGGTCGGTTTTACACCAAAAGAGAGTCACGTGTTTATTTAGGTGGGGAAGGTAGAAGGGTGGTGGTGGTTTTATGGATTAGGGGTAAGTATTAGCCTCGATATTCTGCACCAGGGGCGGACTGACCATTTGGAAACTCGGGCACTGCCCGAAAGCCCGGGGTCAGTAGGGGGCCCAATGAGATGCCCCTGGTACCTTTTTCATAGGCTTTTTTGAGTTTGGGCAAGGACACAGGGGCCCCATGATCCCCTAATGCCCGGGGGCCCCATGAGTTGTCAGTCCGCCCTGGTACAGAGATAGTGTGTTGAGCAGGTGCGGACTGACCATTTGTAAACTCGGGCACTGCCCGAGGGCTCGGGGTCAGTAGGGGGCCCAATGAGATGCCCCTGGTACCTTTTTCATAGGCTTTTTCGAGTTTGGGCAAGGACACAGGGGCCCCATGATCCCCTATTGCCCGGGGGCCCTATGAGTTGTCAGTCCGCCCTGGTACAGAGATAATGTTGAGCAGGTGCGGACTGACTATTTGTAAACTTGGGCACTGCCCGAGGTCTTGGGGTCAGTAGGGGGCCCAATGAGATGCCCCTGGTGCCTTTTTCATAGGCTTTTTTGAGTTTGGGCAAGGACACAGGGGCCCCATGATCCCCCATGAGTTGTCAGTCCGCCCCTGTTCTGTATGTCCATCAGTCATGTTGCATCTGGACCTTCTTAGCAGTGGTGTGGTGCTTCAATTTCCATTGATAGTATATCCAGGAGAGGTCTGATCACTGTGTACGGGTCCATTTTTAGCTGAGATACAAGACTGGTCATGCGTTTCACTAGATCCTTACGATCTACGTTCTCCGGAATATGGCTGGTACCAATGTGGAAAGATGGCGGGTGCTTTTTAACTTTTCTAGTTGCAGATCTTGCGAGAAAACCTAAAGTTTGTAAAAATAAATCAACAGCAGGCTGCATTATTAAGGTCAACAAGCAAAATGTTTAATGGTTGATTATCATTGCAAACTGAGAGGCAGATTTATAAAAGCTGGAGCAAAAACAAAAAAGAAAGAAGTCTCAGACAGCAACCGGAGAAGGCTTTCAGGAAAAAAAAAAAGTTGAAACCAGGTTGGTTGCTGTGAGGAACACCTCCAGCTTTATAAATGCCCCTTGGGGGGGGGGGGGTGTGCTGTAGGTCGGCAGAAAAGTAGCCTCCAAGTCTGGAGCCCAGTTCTTGCCGCCAGTTTTCTAAGCATGCCGGTGATGGTTCAGTAAGGGTCCATGGACGCAGTTCATGCAAGTTTTGGCATACCCATGTGCTACCGTCAGGGTTTCTGGATCAGAAAACGCAATAGAACGACTTCTATTGTTTCTGGTATCGTTGGATGGAAGTGTATATCTTGCAGACAAGTCTTGGCTACAGCCTCATGCAAGCAGGCACAAAGCAACGGGTTAGGAACGCAGAAAGAAAAAAGAGATTCTAACTTGCAGAGACTAAACTCACCCTTTTGAACAGTCTATGGTCCACCAGAGGGCTTTAGATAGCAAAACAATAGCAAACAGCTATTAGGCAGCTGAAAGAAAACTCACACATACAGTACGTCTTCCACAGTGCATCATTATATTGGCAACATTTCAAGGACACGTTGGAGGACATGCATCAATACCAAATTATGCAAGGCGTAGCTAAACAGCAGCAGTGAGACAGTTAATTGGGCAACACGGTGGCTAAGTGGTTAGCACTTCCAGCTTGTAGTACTGGGGTCGCTGGTTCAAATCCCAACCATGGCACCATCTACCTGGAGTTTGCATGTTCTCCCTGTACCTGTGTGGGTTTCCTATGGGTAATCGGCAGATACTTTAGCTAAACAGCAGAGCAATCCATCACTTCACACTAAAAAATTGGAATTCTCATCAGGGGAGCACCAACTAGGGCCCATGTGGGGCTGGGTGAACCCACCGAGAAAAAAAAAAAACAATCTATGCACCTGGCTCCAACCTTTTTCATCGACCACAATTAAATCTATATATATATTGGGCAGCACAGTGGCTAAATCAGTGGTTCTCAACCTGTGGGTCGCGACCCCTTTTGGGGGGTCGAACGACCCTTTCACAGGGGTCCCCTAAGACCATCAGAAAACACATATTTTCGATGTGTAAAGAGCAGCTACTGTGTAGAAAGCAGCTGCTGTGTTGAAAGCAGCTACTCTGTTAAAAGCAGCTACTGTGTTGAAAGCAGCAGTATTGGAGGTAAAACGACACTCATGAATTATAATTACTGGGTAAATAATTTTATGGTTGGGGGTCACCACAACATGAGGAACTGTATTAGAGGGTCACGGCATTAGGAAGGTTGAGAACCACTGGGCTAAATGGTTAGCACTTCCACCTGGCAGTACTAGGGTCGTCGGTTCAAATCCCAACCATGGCATCACCTGCCTGGAGTTTGCATGCTCTCCCTGTGCCTGTGTGGGTTTCCTATGGGGACTCCGGCTTCCTCCCACACTCCAAAGATATGCTGGTAGGTGAACTAGCTCCTGTCTAAATTGTCCCTAGTATGCATGAATGTGAGTTAGGGACCTTAGATTGTACGCTCCTCAGGGGCGGGGACTGATGTGAATGTACAATATATATGTAAAAGCACTGCAAAGTACCTGAAATAAATAATAATGGGACTGATTCGGACTCAGGGGCAGACTGACAACTCATGGGGCCCCCCGGGCAATAGGGGATCATGGGGCCCCTGTGTCCCAAACTCAAAAAAGCCTATGAAAAAGGTACCAGGGGCATCTCATGGGGCTCCCCACTGACCCTGGGCCCTCGGGAAGTGCCCAAGTTTCCAAATGGTCAGTCCGCCCCTGTTTGGACTTCAGCACCACAATGCATGCCCATTCCACCAACACATTGATGCCTATGGTACTGTTATACCCAGGGATTTTATTCAGGGGGAACGCGATTCTGGCACCTCCAGCACTGGATGTATGTAGTGGCAAGGGGTGGTGCGGTGTGCAGGAGGGTCCATTGATGCTGGCTGCTGGGAATCAATTGTTGCGGAGGGGGTCAAATGTTTCTGGGAGGGACCTACTGTTGACGGAAGGGACTATTAAAACCACCTGCCCTCCTGAGGATTTACCCCCCCCCATCCTCACCAGGCCATTTTTTGTCTTGTTACTGTAACTGACAATTGCGCGGTACAAGATGGCACTGCAACAGAATAATACCCGGGACCACGTCCTCATTGTGCGCTTGTTTAGAGCGAAAATCTGTAATAAATCTGTCTCAGTTGGCTGCCAAGCACTACACAAGCAGGGCTTGCAAACACAAAATCTGTGCCAGATACATTGCAAAATAAAAGGGCAGCCTTATCCACTTCTAATTCTGTCACCAATTTGCTTGATAAATATCCCCCATTGTCTTTGAAAGGTTCTATTTATATAAAGAAAAAAAAAAAATCACATAGCAATTTTCCCAGTGACAGCGCATGTTCTCTGCAAATAGGGGCAAAAAAAATGAAACGTTATTAGGCTATTTCTTGTGCTGGTCGAATGTTTTCTATTGATTTAAAATGGAGAATACCACATTTGACCACTAAATGGCGCTAAGCAGGATAGGAAATGATACTTAGCGCCATCTACTGAGCAGAGGTGGTATTTTCTGGTTTTAAAATCAATGGAAAAAAATCCGACCAGCATGTTTTTTTTTAATGAATAATGGTGATAATAGATGACATCATCACAAACTGGCACACACATTATTTTCACCATACTGCATCATTGAGTTGAGTCCTGTAAAGCTTCATTTAAAACTACAAAACACTCCTCATACCCCTTAAAATGACCAAGCTTCAGAAGTGGAAGTGCAAAAGAATGGATACAAATCAGGAACATTTTATGTTAAGCATCTCAAGTTATCAACAAACACAGGATGATCAAAAGAGAGACAACAGGTTCATATGTTAGCTGGACATTTTATAGCAGACCTGTCAAACCGCACAGCACTTTAAAATGAGCAAACAAGGAGGGAACCCATGAGCAGAGGTGACCTTTGTCGAAGGCTGCAAGTCACAAAAGTCAGTAAATCCAGAGATATATCATATATTGTTCAGCAGCTGAAGTTACTTGCCGATCCTGACTTCTGTTAACCACTTCCAGTCCGAACACTTTCACCCCCTTCCAGTCCGGACACTTTCACCCCCTTCCAGTCCGAACACTTTCACCCCCTTCCAGTCCGGACACTTTCACCCCCTTCCAGTCCGGACACTTTCACCCCCTTCCAGTCCGGACACTTTCCCCCCCTTCCAGTTCGGACACTTTCCCCCCCTTCCAGTTCGGACACTTTCACCCCCTTCCAGTGCGGACACTTTCACCCCCTTCCAGTTCGGACACTTTCCCCCCCTTCCAGTTCGGACACTTTCCCCCCCTTCCAGTTCGGACACTTTCCCCCCCTTCCAGTTCGGACACTTTCCCCCCCTTCCAGTCCGGACACTTTCCCCCCCTTCCAGTCCAGACACTTTCACCCTCCTTCCAGTCTGACACTTCCCCCCCTTCCAGTCTGACACTTTCCCCCCCTTCCAGTCCGGACACTTTCCCCCCCTTCCAGTCTGACACTTTCCCCTCCTTCCAGTCCGGACACTTTCACCCCCTTCCAGTCCGGACACTTTCCCCCCCCCTTCCAGTCCGGGCACTTTCCCCCCCCCTTCCAGTCCGGACACTTTCCCCCCCTTCCAGTCCGGACACTTTCACCCCCTTCCTGTCCGGACACTTTCCCCCCCTTCCAGTCCGGACACTTTTCCCCCCCTTCCAGTCCGGACACTTTCACCCCCTTCCTGTCCGGACACTTTCCCCCCTTCCTGTCCGGACACTTTCACCCCCTTCCTGTCCGGACACTTTCACCCCCTTCCAGTCCGGACACTTTCACCCCCTTCCTGTCCGGACACTTTCACCCCCTTCCTGTCCGGACACTTTCACCCCCTTCCAGTCCGGACACTTTCACCCCCTTCCTGTCCGGACACTTTTTCACCCCCTTCCAGTCTGGACATTTTTACCCCCTTCCAGTCCGGACACTTTCCCCCCCTTCCTGTCCAGGCCAATTTTCAGCTTTGAGCGCTATCACACTTTGAATGACAATTGCGCGGTCATGCAACACTGTACCCATATGAATTTTGTAGCATTTTTTTGAGACAGATAAAACTTTATTTTGGTGGCATTTTTTCACCGCTGGGATTTTAATTTTTTTGGCTATATAAACGAAAATGTCCAAAAATTTTTTAAAAAAGTGTTTTTCCTATAAAATTTTGCAAATATATAATCTTTCTTCATAAATCTTGGCCAAAATTTATTTAATTATTATTTTAGTTAAAAAAAAAAATCCGTGCTCCCAGGGAGTGCACACAATCCAAAATGGTGGGCGCCATTTATGACCAGCAACCTGCCCCTGGATTGCCACCATCTGGCCGTTGTATATAAACAGCCGGATGGAAAGTGGTTAAAGTGTTACTAAACCCCCAACAGTACAATCGGTCTGTAGATGCAGTAAAGCATGCTTGTTATACTCACTGTGGAACCTAAGGGGTTAATCCTCTGCATTGTGTAAAAAGGCTGTTTGATCCTGTCTTCTCTGATCAGATGCCCACCTGATAAGACAGACTGAACCCATAGCCATTCTGCACATGCTCAGTTTGGTGTGTATTGATAGAGAGGGGTTTTTTTTTTTTTTCTTGGGAGGGTGCATGTGATCAGCACAGGGCCAGTCAGCACTGTTCAGACAGAGGTCAGGGGTTCTGCATCCTCCTAGAGCAGAAAGAAAACTCCTCCCTAGCTTCCAAGGTCATTTTATGTGATCAGCCAATTGAGAGGTGGAAGGAGATTGGGCCAATTCTTAACATTTACAGGGAATTTAGATTTTCAAGGAACTTCAGCTGCTCATATCTCTGGATCTATTGATGGTTTTGACTTTAATTTACTTTGGCACATGTTGTTTTGTGATTTAAATAGGTCTCATCCACATGGAAGAAAAGTATATTTGAAATATATTTTAAAAATATTCTTCCCAAATATATTGACATATATTTGAAATACTAACATTTTGGCCGTATTCAGTATATATATATATATACTGCATGTTGACACATGACAGGTCCCAGAAGACGCCGGACCAATCACAAAGCACAGCGCTTCTCGCGCGCATGCGCACTGGGCACCCGGCTGTCAGCGGGGTGCCCACACTAAAGGGAGGACAACTCCACGGAAGTGGGAGCGGGTACCTGTCAAATTCAGGTACCCGCTCCCCCTCCCTCCCCAAAGGTCAGCATTCTCTTAGTCATCCCCTATACTGTCCGCAGTCTCTGGTCATCTCCTGTACTATGTCCGCAGTCTCTGGTCATCTCCTGTACTATGTCCGCAGTCTCTGGTCATCTCCTGTACTATGTCCGCAGTCTCTGGTCATCTCCTGTACTATGTCCGCAGTCTCTGGTCATCTCCTATACTGTGTCCGCAGTCTCTGGTCATCTCCTGTACTATGTCCGCAGTCTCTGGTC